AATTAAAATTTCATTTTTATGATTGGATAAATAATAGTTTGGAAGGTTATCTCACGTTATTTACTCTCCATGAGTTGTCGATCAAACTGTGTATTCTTAACGAATCTCGGTGTGGCTGACAAAACGTCGCCATCAACAATTGATGGCATCGTTAGACAAACTATTATTGAACTTTCATTGATCTTTTGTTCATGTTAAGTTCGTTTTAGAAAGTGGATTAAAATACAGTACCTAGATGAGTCTTTTTCTGGCAGCGTAGATGCAATTCTGTGTAAGAGAGGTCCATAGAGTGCAAAGAATATTGAGTTATATTTTTTACAAAGTAGGTAGTGAATATGTTGTCTTCTTAAAGACAAAATTTCGAACATTTTCCGTGAACTAGTGAAGTACAAAGAGTATAAGAATATGATTAATTTTAACGGCAGATGATAGTTTTCGTTCGTCGACTTAAAGATACTATGTAACAGCTTAATTGAAAGTGCCCCCCTTTGTTGTTTACTAAGATTTCTGGGGCAGATTTAGGTGTTGGAAAAACTATTGTATTCTCTTTCAATTGTTTAATCAGACTTAACGTAGGAAATCATTTAGGAAAAGTTTGTACTCTAACTTGTAATTTTTTTTCAGCTTAGCTGATGATTTTATCAAGAACAGAATTAAGTAATACTCTTCAAATTACTTTTGATACGAAGTGATTTTACAGGTAATGCAGTTTTTGTAATAGTATAATCCCTTTATTCAGTGCAATAAAATAGGTAGGAATGTAATGTAGATGTTTTCTAATTAACAACATGAGAAGTTGTTGTATAGTTAACATATATATATTTTACAATTTTTAAATATGGAAACAAAAGTTTTTAAGGCAGGAGATTTTGTACTTTTATACGTTGAGTTTATAACAAGTTTTGATTCGGACCAACAATTTGATTCGTACCAATTGAGAATCAAGCTATTGGCTGGCAGGGGGTACTCCCCTATGTATGTTACGGGGATATGTGCCGCCAAAAAGGATGAAGTGTGTTGAAAAGCTCTTGTCCAAAAACAGCTACAAATTTGAACCACCACGATCTTAAACTAGGTTTGGTAAGGAGACTGCGAGAGCGAATGAACACATTTCCCTTCAACTCCAAATGAATGAGAGAGAAAGAGGAGAAATCAAAGTCCAGCATTTGAGCATAATTTTCCAGGTCAATTTTACCTGCTAATTCTTGACTTCCACATGGATATAAAGCTCAATCCATTTTAGACACCACTTGTCAAATTCTTATTTAAGGCGTGTAAGTTATTAAGGGACCAGTCATTCGCCTGGAGGTGGGGTAAGGGTAGAGGATTTTGGGAGATAACATGGTTTTCAGTGGGAGTGGGAGGAGATCAGTCGTTGCTAACAAAGTATAAAGTGGGGAATATAGAGAATTGACCATTAAGGAAGTGTTTGTGTGTGTGCGTGTTTTTTTTTTTTTTTGGGGGGGGTTACATCAGAATATTACAGAGCATTAGGGGGGATTGGGTAAATTTTATTGTGACACAATCAAATTTCTCTGACCCCCCTAAAGGTAATGAATAATGACTAGTCCTAAAAGCTCGTTTACATTGATAACTGTTCAGCAGATCAGAGACTCAAAGCTCCACCAAGGACAAGAGACTTACATGTCAGAGAGCTCTTGTTTACCAGCAATTTTGTCCTGGTTGCTACTGATACTGAAAACATTAAGAAAATTGTAGATCACCGAGCGATCTGCTGTAACTCTGTCAGATTAAGAACTGATACCTCAAAATCAGGACTTTTGTAAAACACGCGGGTCTAACTAGTCTAACTAATCTGACTATTCTAACTAGTCTAACTTATAACTGCCAACTCAGTGGATTCGATGCTGACACCAAGAATGACATTTGAACACGCATTTATTTATCTCTATTGACTTGACAAGCCGTGCGATGATACTTTGCGGGAAAGCGATACCTTAGCGTATCATGCGGTTAAAACTGAGAGAAATATACACATAAACAAACTTTACGGTAGAGAAAAAACTTGAGCGGAAAGCGACAAAAAACCTAAATAAACAACCGCCAGAAAAATGACATTTACTTTCTTCACGGCCCTGGAAATGGCTACATAAACTGTACTGTATACTGCAGCTGTGTTTCCATGTAAACTAAAACAAACTGAATAATGGTCCTGCGAAAACAACAAAATTTAAACTGCCGAAGCCGCGAGAGTATTTTGAATAAATTAGACGCGTATAGGTGCATTCCACACACCCATACAGGAAACAATAGGCTAACTAAATATATACATAACTAGTCTGACTATTTAACTAGTCTACTGCCAAGGTCCTCCGTTTTCCTGGCAAACTTGAGCATGTCACCATCGTCAATTCATCAAATCCCGAAGTTAAGAAAAGAATTGATTCAGCGCCAAAAACCCTTGGCGCATTGCAAAAATTAATCTGGTCCGGTCAAGACATCAAAATAGCCTCTAAATCAAACAGATATATTACTGTTGTACTCCCATCTCTGTTTCATTTAACTCAAACAGTAGCATGGTACCGGAGGCATGTCAGAAAGCCAACCAGGATAAAACTTTGGTACAAGCGGAATCTCATACCACATCACACAGCAAATAGTTGAATTACATTTAAGAGAAGAATGGAGGACAGAAACTCTGCTGAAAAGATTTGCTAAAGTGTCACACAAAGAATACTGGCATGAATGACCCCATTAATAGTATTTGAATGGTATGAAAAAGGTTCTTCATTTACTGACATAATATTTATGATAATGTGATCATATAAATTTACCAATTGCAGCGTTCACACTTCCTGCATGACACTAGTAGAAAGTACTTTTTTTTAAATGCTTTGTCAGATGACTACTTATAATTACAATCCTTTCATTTCCTAAATTGACCAAAAAGGAATTTCTCCTTACAAGATTAATAAGAAATGAACTTTACTTGTTTGTCTCATAATGGAATCACTTTGGATGTTGATTATGATGTTTGACTACCATACTGTTAGTGTTTAGTCTTAGTGCTACATTGGACTGACTGAAGGAACTTTTAAACAAAGATTTAATCAAGACAAGGTTACATTCCGACACAGAAAATACACTAACAGCACTGAACTATCCAAATACATCTGGCAACTTTGTAAACTTCAACATAAAATGGTCCATTATTGCAAGAGCTAGGCCCTACAACAACACGACGAAAAGAAGCGACCTTTGCTTGACCAAAAAACTTATGATTATTAAGTCCAACAGCAACAACTTACTGAATAAAAGATCTGAACTTATATCCAAATGCTGTCACAAAAACAAGTTTTATCTAAAGAACATCTGATGCTTCCCCGCTACAATAGACTTTTGTCAATATATTCACACCTACTGCCACATTGTCCTTCATTAATACATCCACACCCATTGTAATTTTTGTTTTTTCTCACCTATTATATAACAAAAACCTATTGTAATCAGCACCTATCTTTTTTATATATATAAATTAGCCTACAAGAATGTTGTTCATTAAATCTGTCTGATGAGTGCGTAAGCACGAAACTCAAGACTTACAGGGAATCATGCCTGTTTCATTTTAGTCATTTTGAACTGTATTTCGCTCTACACTCATGTGTATTGAGCACTTTCCAACAGCATTTGCTAAATTTTCCCACAATTATCCTACATAAATAACTTACTAAACTATTACATAAGAGATATTTGACGAATACACTAAAACAACACTCCAGTAATCAGGAATAAATTACAAATACAAATGAAATAAAGAAACAATAAAAAATATCTGTGGTATGGGTGGGAGGGAAACTAAAACTTTCTTTGAAGCTAGAAGAAACTTGTTGCTTGCTTGCTTGCTTGATTACAAATAACATGTGCATAGATACCTAAGGGGTAACACACTAAAGTAATTTTCTAATTGAAATAAACCATTATGTAACCACTCATTTCAGTTTCAGGAGCAGAAAGCAAAAAGCACTATTGGTACATTGATTGGACAGGATTTCAGTCTAAAAAATCAGTTTTGACTGAGTAAGGTTGGGCCAGTATGGGAAACATTTATTCAGTTAAACATTCTCAATCATTAAATTTGGGATGAGCAGAGAGTCAGAGCACTCTAAATACAGAGCACTGCACATCTATGAATCCACAACCTGGTGTCAAATATATTTTTTTATGGCCCTACCATTCACTCAATAAGTACAACATACTAACTTGCTCTCTTCCAGACATTCCATATGATGCACTATGAAAAACCACATCAATCTGATGACTGATAATCTTTCTAAAATCTTCTATACTAGTTAAATCCCCCTAAAACATACATATGAATCTTATGACACAAAATCAGACTTAACATTATCATAAGATTAAACGAAAAAAAAAATTCAATTAAATCCAGGATAATTATCACATTATCCTTCGCAAGATGAAGTGGAAATTATAAGAGAATTCTGGAATCTTTAGAAAGCACTTCCCGCTACCAGGTGTCTGACACAGCAAATTGAAATAACTCCCATGTGTTTTCCCCGTTGTAAAATTTAATATTTTCGTCTGTGCGAAAAACGAAGGCAAGATCTGAATGAAGTTGTTTTGGTAAAATGTAATCCAAAGTAAACTACATAATTTCCCAGTCAAGTCTTCCAGTAAACACTCCATTTGCTCGTATACAACTTCATCCAACGGCCAGGAGATGTCAAACGATACAACCACTGCTCCCATCTTCTTCAGCTCATTCCCAGCTTGTGGCCAAAATATCCTCCTTTTCTTCCTTGGAATATACTGACATCCATTCACAGATTTCCTTCGTAGCTCAGATTTTCGTTCCCGCTTTGATAAGCGAGCCTGCATTTATCCAGCGGCAACATACCTACGGGCTACAAAACCAGCAGTGCGGTGTATAATAGCCATAACCTGAAAGGAGGGTTCCCCCCCCGCTCAATTCTGTCACGTGATAGTGAATGAACCAATTAAAATAATTCATAGAACCGAGAGCGTTAGATGAAGGCGGAAGTCGACGTGAAATACTACTAATGTTGAACGAGGTGTTTCGCCAGTTTATTTTTCCGTAAGTCATAGTTTCAATTTGAATTGATTTCAGATTATCAGCGAACTGTAGCTCCAGACTGACACTGAAGGGAACAGATACAGAACCTTCACTCAAATAACATATCAACCAAAGTCGGATCATTCAGGGTTTCTGGTAAATCAGACCAAAAGCTCCCGATCTAAAACGACCACGATACCTTGTTTTGCCACTCTGCGACATACAAACATCTTGCGATTACATATTGATAACAAGTATACATGACAAAACTATGTGAAAACTTTTGATAATTATTTACTGGAATCGCATGTAGAATAATTCATTCAAACCCTGCACGTAATCGCGAAACACTTAATCAAATTTTTAGCGCTTTTGAAATAACCTCTTTTCAGCATTGAAGTACATGTACCTCTCCTCTGCATTGGTACCTTAAACAAACTTCATTTCTCTTTGCGATTCGGGAGGAAGAAATTTTATTATGGATATATTTCGTCAATTAAATTTCACTCATCAAAGAAACAATATGATTCCTCTGTGATATGCCACCAACAGTAATTTCCAGTTGTCTTTTAATACGGTAGTCTAATATTAGTAATTTAAGACATTTTTTCAGAGTAACTTATGAAAGTAATTAATTTTTTAATTTTTATTTTAGCAACTTCCTATTCAACAGTTAAAGTTCCTATGATGTCGGAACAATTAAGGGTAAGATATCAAACAACTGCTTTTTAAAATCACAACTGCGACCAAGTTGGTTTGTTCACTCTGGTGTCATTTCATTTTAAGGAAACTTCATTATTATCAGTGCATCCCTGCCAACTCTCTCACTTCAGGAGCAAATTACATGCCTGCAGATACAAAACTTTGTGATAATATATTGCTGGTATTTATTCAGCAGGAGATCAATATGGAAAAAAATTTAAAGGAGAGTAAAATAAGCTCACATCAGTTTAAGATTTAGAGTCCAGATAGATGATTGTAGTAAGTTTTTATTTTTGAATGACTGAAGCTAATGAAAATTTCTTTCTATGTCTCATGTTTCTCATTTTTAAGACAATAAATGATAACAAGTTAACAATGATACAAGTTAACTGGTTAGAGTTGGATGATTTAAAGTTTGCCATGTCATGCAAAACCAGACTCTGAATATTTGAAGAGAAAAACCTTGTGTATAACATTTTTTGTGTGATATCAAAAAGTTACAGATGCAGGTCACTTCCTGGGGTTAATGAGACTACACAGTTGTATCACACTAAACCTGATATCCACAACAATTGTTCTTTACTGTTTTGTGGAAATTTTGTACAATGTTTGCTTATATGTTTATTGAGTTTGTGAAGTTACCAAATGAATTGAAAATTAAGAAGTGTCTTTCAAAAGTAAAATAATTCATAAAATGAGGGTTTTTTTATCATTTCTAGAACTCTAATTGAATTTTCTAAATCACAAAAATCTTTTGTTTACAGAATGACATCAGGGAAAGGAAACTGAGAGTAACACTTTTGAGTGCTGAATGGAAAGCATCAAGTGATGGAGACTTAACAACCATCAACAGAGAGCTAGCAATACAGATGGCTAAACATCCCAATGTGGAAGTCAGTGTCTTCTTACCTCGGTGTAGTGAGGAGGACAAGAAAGATGCTGATAGTTACAATGTTAAACTCATTGAAGCAGTTAAACTGCCTGGTTTAAAACCAGTTCTTTGGCTAGCCTCTGTACCTGATGGCCATGCTATGGATTGTGTAGTAGGACATGGAATAGCTCTTGGTCAGCAAATTCCACTTATAAAGAAAAATCCAAATTACAGTCATTGCAAATGGATTCAAGTTGTCCATACTGCCCCTGAAGAAATTGGCATGTACAAAAACATTTCTGAAGGTCAACAAATGCAGCAAACAGAGATAGAACTATGTGAAATGGCTGATCAAGTTGTAACAATTGGCCTCAAGCTAACTGAAGCATATAAGAACCAACTCGGAAAAAAAGATGTTTTTAACCTGACGCCAAGCATTCTCTCTGAATTTTCAGATGTGCAGCAAGCTAGTGATGAAAGAAGAACATTTTGTGCCTTGGTTATTGAGAGTGGTGATAGTGAAGATTTTGATGTTAAAGGATACAAAATTGCAGCAAAAGCTATTGCTAACCTGAAGGATAAATCATACCAACTCAAGTTTGCTTCTAAACAGAGTGGAAAAGAAGATGAATTAAAACACAAGTTACTTCAGTGTGGTATTGATCATAATCAGCTAATTATCTGCAGCTTTGATGAAAACAGGAAAACGTTAGCTAACTTATTCAATATGGTGGATATTGTTCTATTGCCCTCAAAAACTGAGGGATTTGGGTTGAGTGCTCTCAAAGCCATATCTGCTGGTCTTCCAGTACTTGTCAGTGGTAACTCAGGAATTGCAGAAGCCTTAAGGGAGGTGCCTAATGGGTCCCAGTTTATAGTGGATTCAGAGGATCCTGCAGACTGGGCCAGAGCAATAAAAGTTGTGCGTAACAAAAAAAGGAATGTACGACTTAGAGAGGCTAAGATTCTCCGTGGAAACTATTTGCAGCAGTTCAGCTGGGAGGAGCATTGTGATTTCCTTGTTACAAAGATGTGCAATCTAGCATTTGGTAAGTTTTATCACCTTGCATCAGAAATGCAGAAGTTTTAATCAAATTTGAAATAATGACAAAGCTCACATGTTTTGTGTTAAATATTCAATTTACAGGGTAGCAGTTGTTTTTAATGTGTGACAACACTGTAAAGACTCATCATGACAGTCGATCAGATTATTTTAAGAAAACTTGACTTTATAGACAAGACCTTTATTAAAAAAACAATTCTTTTTATTTCCGACAAAGTTTATGAGGATCTCAAGGCGAAGAAAGCAAGGTAAACATCGCTATTAATCAAAAAAACTTTAGACGCGAACGAGTTATTGTGTGACAACGACACTGTAAAGACTTCTCTTGTCACTCGGTCAGATTTTTAAAAAAAGACGACTTTCTAAACAAGATCTTTCGCAAAATAAAACAACATTTTATTTCCAACAAAGTTTATAGGGATTTCAAGGCGAATAAAGCAAGGTGAATATCGCCAATGACCAAAAAAGCTTTAGGGGCGAACGAGTTATTGTGTGACAACCATAACAACCAGGCGGAACGACATGGTTTTTTAACTTTAAAGAATGATTTATTCATGATCGAGCATGTTTGATTTACGATACGATTTGATATATTATAAAGATCAAGTGAACATTTGAAAGCTATACATATCATGCAATTATTCTGCTCTTGAAGGTCCGTGTAATCTCGACATCGATTTCAATAATTGGGCCGCTGTCTTTTCACCATTCTCATATTTCTCACAACAACTCGTTTGTGTCTAAACCTTTTTTGGTCCTTGGCGATGTTCACCTTGCTTTATTCGCCTTAGGATCCTTGTAAACTTTGTTGAAAATAAAAATAATTGGTTTTTCTAGAGATCTGTCTATAAAGCCAAGTTTTTTTAAAAAATCTGACCGATTGACACGATGAATTTCCACAGTGTTGTTGTCACACAATAATTATCTCGTTCGAGTCTGAAGCTTTTACATTCATTGGCGATGTTTACATTGCTTTATTCGCTATGAGATCCTTAAAAACTTTGTTGGAAGGAAACAAAACTGTTTTTTGACCAAACATATTTTACTTTTCTGTATGTTTAACTTCTAATAAGTTGTACTGGATTGAAGACCAACTCGCCGACGTCTCTACTCGATTTTATACGTCGGCGAGTTGGCGTTGGCGAGTTGAACCGTCGGCGACTTGACTGCAATTCATTTTGATTTTCTCTCTGTTAGAGGAACAGCAGTAGGCTTGGTTTCTTTTGTATCTGTTATTTAGTCTTGTCACGCAACGCACTCTCTCAGGAAATAGAGGGCGTTGTGTGGTGAGACCAAACAACAACTGCAAAGGAGAATACAGTAAGTGTGGCACTAATTCATTTTATTTTTGCCTAGAAGTATTTGAACAATAGAGAAAATGGATCATAAAATACATGACATGGTGTGACTTTAGTTAAACTAGGTTTTATTTTCTTTCTTTTAAGGTGAAGGAATGCAATATTTTTGTTCCTTGAAAAGTTATGCTCTTTTTCTGACTTACATAAATGAAAACATTAAGTACACATTTAGTGTCCCATCTTGACCCACCCAGCCAAAAAAATAACTCGGGCATGCTAGGCATGCCCATGTTTCACCTTAGCTAAGTCTGTTTAGATATTTCCATGTTTGAAACTGTAATCTTTTAGATCAATCAGAATTTTGATTCTACCATGGAATGAGGTAAAGAAGCAAATTAAAGAAACTGAAACTGAAGCAATATATATACTGTATGTGGTAATCATTTTTATTTCATTAAATTGTTGTTGGTATTTATTCATTGGTAACAAGCTCTATGTTTGATTGGTGTTGCCTCATTGTAATGTTCTCAAATTTTAATGATTAATTAGGTAAGAGGTGAAAAAACCTTGATATATTAGGATTAAATTTGACTGTTACAATTTAACAGGTGGTGAAATGAATATTAAGGTTGATGTGGATGTCTTGGAACCTGAAAGACAGAATATGCAGACTGGCATGTTGGCAACAGAGTCTGTCAGATGCCAAGAAGTTCAGCAGCCAATGGCATCTGCTACATTAACTGCATCTGGAAGTGTGTCCTATTCAAAGAAAGAACATCTCAAGGCCTTTGAAAAGGAAATCTTTCTATCAATTATGCAAAATTATCTCCAGACCACACCACCACAGTCCCCTGAAGAGCACAACAGGTTCAAGGAATACATGAAAGAACTGAAGCTCATCATTTCTGATACCTCTGTAGGAAGTTTAGTGATAACAGTGAAGTGTGAATCTCTAATGATCTTGGAGAACTTGTGGACAGATTACTCATCTGGTCATCTTGGTGAAGTGGTTCAGAATTGTTTTGTAACTGAGAAGATCTTGAAGGAACTGAACCTGGCTGAACTGAGGCTGAAGACAACAATGGACATAGAAGAGTACAATGCATGCAAAATGTTCTTTGAGAAAGATGCACTTAGAGGTTGGTAAAAAGAATGTATCAAGGCCTGGTCCTACTATGAATTATTTGTCAAGGGTTTTTATATCAAGAGTTAAGGAACTTGTCTCTTCAATAAATTCATACTGACTACTGTATGTAAACCATGCCAATGCAAGCAGTAATTTGTTTGCAAGATGTTTCATTTGATGTTTTGTTCTTCTCAAACATCTCTTCCCAGTAGCCTGTTATCTTTCCTACTAAGACATCTGGCTTGATATTTCCTCTCTATAGGGTTGTTTTTATCTTTCCTTAATTTATTTGATTGTATCCATTAATCAAAGGTTAATTGGCAAGACTTTTGTTGGAGGGACCATGAAAGAAAATTTTTTCTAGTTTTTACATGTTGTGTGTTTTTAAAAATAGTTTGAAGTGTCTTTATCTTTTAAAATGTGTGTCTTCTTGTAAATTTGATTTTAGAAGCCCTATCCTCTGAATTCCGCTCCACAAGTTCAACCAGTGAAAGTCCACAAAAAAAAGAACAATGGGAAAAAAGTGAACAGAAGACAAAGATTATGGAGACAGCAAAATTGGAAGGTGAAAAAGAAATTAAAAAAAAGTTTTTATGAACAGTAATAACAAGTATGTGATAAATCTTCGAAGAATAATTTCAGTGCAATAATGTGGCATCAATAATATAATATAATTGTACACAGCTGAACACAACAATGGACATAGAAGAGAACAATGCATATACAAACTGTACTTTCTTGAGAAGGATGCACTCAGAGGTCAGTTGAAAGAAAGAAAAAGGCCTGGTCCTTTGGAAAAATGTTTTGAATGATTAAAAACACAACACATCACTTATTCAACATGGTGCACCATAGGGTTAACAGAGGTGTAGAGGGGGGTCCAGGTTTTGACCAAGATAGAACCAATTGTTTCATGACTAAGCTCATGCTGACTATGTATACAATGACAATCTGCAGCTAGAAGTGATTTGTTCAAGAAATTTCCTAGTATATTTACCTTTCTGTCTGGTTGTATTTATCTTTGGCTCCAAATATAAATAAAATAAAATAAGCTAAAGTAAAAAATTGACAAGGTTTTGGTTGAAGGAGCTATAAAAGAAAATGTTACCTGTATTTGTGTGTGGGGCTTTTATAAAAATGATTTGAGGTGTGTTGTATGGTTTTGAATGTCAGTATTCAATGATTGCCTCATTATTTGTTTTCTTTTAAATCTGATTTTAGGTGCCTCATCTTCTGAATTCCACTCCATAAGTTCAACCAGTGAAAGTCCACAAAATCAAGAAGAGCTGAAAAAATGGAAACAGAAGACAAAGATTGTTGAGAGAGAGAAAATGAAAGGTGAAAACAAAATTAAAAGACATATTAGGTTGTTAAGGAAAGTTAATGTGAACAGTAATAACAATTTATTATTTGACAAAGATTTGAAGAATTATCTCAATGCAGTAATGTGGTGTTAGTATTATTTTAAGAGTACAACTTATGGGGAACAACTTACAGCGTATCTGCAGAGAGGCTGTGAATACTAATCTCTCCCTGTACTTTTTGTTCTTAGATACGTCACCCCTCACTGTAATACCCACCACTGGTCATGGAAAAGAACTTATAGGAAAAGCACAGGGAAGGAAAGGTGAACAGGAAGCTCAGTTTGAATTAATATCTGTAGTGAATATGTTCAGTATGTTCAGTTATTATGTCAAGCATAAAGAAGTGTGCTTTTGGGATTAAACAGTTAAGGTTGTAAGGGTCTGTAGGGTAAAACTAAACTGACAATTATTTGAAATACTTTCAGTTCTTCATTAAAAAGATTAATTTGAAAGAAATTAAAACCCAAATTAGTTTTACCTAAATTTTGTATTTAAGATAAATTTCATGCACTTATAGGCATGGTCACATGACTTGTTGGTTTGCTGTGTTATCATCTCTCAAATGAAAGTAACACCTTGAATACTAATATTGCTGTAAATAATGTAAAATAGATAAATGTAAATTACTCCAAATATGATTGTGCCTCATTCTCTACTTATATTAAAGGGAATTTGAGTTGGTTTGTGGAATTAAAACAATAATTGTACTGTATGTATGTATTTCAAATGGATGTTTTGAACAGCTTTTTTAAATCTATCCTTAGAGCTACAGGTTGGTATGCCTGTTTCAAACTATTTATCAGAAGAAATGCTAATCTCTCTCTGTATAACTTTGTTTTTAGGCATGTTGCCTCCCTTTGGATCTTCCACCTCTGATCCTGAAGAAGAACTAGAAGAGCTTCGTATGAAACTTCAAATTATGAAAGGTGAATGAAAAAGTGCTGTTAAATTGACTTTGATGGTAAAACTAAACCAAGAATGCTTTTAAATACATTTAGTTCTCATTCAAAATATTTTTTTGAA